CCTGAAAATGTATACTATATAGGACAATCCTTAGTTTAAAAATCTAGAAAAACAGACAAAAAAATGCATATTGGTAGCTATATTTTAAACAAACGAAAAAAAATCTTCACATAATAAATACATCTTATGCACATTAACTTCAAATTTACTTCAGAAAGCTATTTACAATATAAATAATTATAAATGGGAACACTTTGCAAGATATTGTTGACATAACTAAATTATATTTTCTACATTACATTCCAAAGGAAAACTACAGATGTTATGCTACAATGTCACTAGACCCTTTACATTGCAAAGCATGGTATTTGAAACACTGGCAATCTGTGTCTTTTTGTCCGTAAATGTAACCATTGCCTTAAAGCAAACATGAAATTCTTCATCATGTCTCAAGTGCTTTCTTTTTGTTAGATTAGTATATTTTAGGCATTGAAATATTTACCTTGGGAAAAAGTTGCAGTGCCCTAAACATACTTTTTCTAATAGACTTTATTTCCTTAGAATGTAAAGGTGCCAACATTTTGTATTGTGTGAAAAAGACTGTTTCTTGCACTTTGAAACTTCCCACTGTATCAGTAGCTGAAAAGGAAAATAATAAATGCAGTCCAAATTGCAATAAATAAAAATGTTTAAAATGGCATTTGGAATCCTAGAACAATAGGAAAGGTTGAGAAATTCGCATGAGAGGGTAATTAAATAGAGAATGCAACCAGACAAAAAGCTTTTTTCATCCTGTATTTGATCTTCCCTTTCAAATACAGCTTCATAGATGGAGTCATAAATTAACTCTTTTCAAAAAGGGATATATTCCTAACAACTTAGAGCCAGATTTATCTACAGAACTCTTGTACACATAAGCTAAATGCCGCAGTGAAGTTTAACCTCACAGCATTTTTTTTTTAATTAATAAATGCCCTAAGGAAATGTGAAATGGAATCACACTAGTGCTCTCACTGTTCTGAACAGAAGACTATTTCATTTTCTTGGTCTTCAAAATAACAGCTAAATCCTCAGCTATACTTCCAGAAGACTTTCAAAATACCAAACTGAAAGGTTACAGAAATATGGGGGGCTTTTGATTTGCTTTCATTTGTTGTTGTTTTTGGGGTTGGTTTGGGGTTTTTTGGACTGAGGCTTTTTTTGCTTCTCAGTGCACACAGCTGAAATATTTAACCATCAATACTAACTGCAAATAAAATAGTTTCTCCTCCACACTGCAGAGCTATCTGGAGTTAAGCCAGTATACCTACAGGAAAGCGTGTTCATCCACCATTGTTCCTAATAATGAAGCCTGTATTGCCTTTAGGCTCTTAGGTGCTTTAAGTAAACTTGCAACTCAAGGAAGGAGCAGGGCCTGAATCCATTTGCTGCCAGACATTAACTATAGCCACCTTAAAATAGACATAGCTAGTTCTAATCCTGGAACTGTGTGCTATAATCCCCATTGCATACAGGTTTGTATGCCGAAGGTCTGAAACCAACACGCATGCCACAGCTTTGTTCCTCGACTGAAAGGTTATCTGACCTTTGGAACAGCCAGGCTGATTTTCTGGGGTGGCTGTGCCTTTTCCAGAAATACTATGAGACCTTTAATTTTTTCGACTCACTCAACATGCTCACATAAATGAACATATGGTGGTTAACATACCTAGGGATATTAATGAATAAATGCTGCATGTGTAGAGACAAAAATGAGATTCAGATAACAGTGATTAAAAGAGTTTAAAAGAGCATAATTTCACTGTGTAACCCATGGCAGTATTGCAGACAGATCAATAAAAGCCATTTTTAAAGCTTAAGAAATACTTTTGAGACTCTTCAGATGGGATGGGTGCACTCATTTTTTCAGAACATTAATAAATTCTTTTATAGAAACACAGCCACTAGAGTTTTTGTCTTCCATAGTTCCATACTCACATATTGAGATTTAAGGAAAAAGAATTACAAAACTTCTCTCAAACTTATAATCAGAAGTCAGTTTTCCTTCCCTTGCACATATTAAGTAGCACCTTACTCTACAAATATTCCCATTTGAATAAATGGGACAAATTGCTGAGTAAGGTTCTGCTTTTAATTTAAGAATTGCTTTGCAAATTTGTCCAAAATCACAAACTATATTCCCATGGGGTGTGATTTTATATAAAGACTAGTGGGTTTTTTATTTCTTGAAATAAAAGAGATATACTATGATTGTAATGCACAAAAACCATAATGAACCATCCGCAAACAGCAATAAGAAATTGTTTGAAAGAGCTGTGGTCTCTCTGTATTTGCAGTAGTTGCAAAATATTAGTTTCTTGTTAATAGCAAACCAGTATTGTGTTAGAGAAGTGATGCAATACAGCGATTTATATTGTTTCTGTTCCAAAACACAACATACACGCCTTATTTAAAATTATAACCTTAAGCTGATGTGATGCATTTGAAACTTATTTGGTTCAAATGCCTTGCATTTTTCAATTTTGCAAGATATTTTTTCCCATCTGATTTGGAAAAGGGAGAAACATAAAAAAAGAGATCATATCCTTGAAGGACACTAAATGAAAATTTAAATTACATAAATATGTAATGGAAAAATAAGCTTTATACCATATTGAAAAGCACATGTAATATGAGCTGCAGTGATATTATATGCTATAATTAAGATTGCAGACTTGCCTTCATGTAGCATGTAGCATGCAGAGTCTACGTTTGCAAAACTCAATCCTTTCTGTCAATTAAGAAGAAATTCCTGTCTATCTAAAGAAGCAGGATAGCAAACAAGCTGACAAAAGACATCAGTCTCCAGCATACCGTACTGAAGTGCTAAGGAGTGCCAGTTGCTGGAAACCCATGTGGAGAGAGAGCATCAGCCTTTGCTTGTAGCATAATGTGGCTGCATGTAGAGACATCTCTACTGATTTATTCCATTCATTACAGTGCATTTTTTGCATTTGTAGTGGACTAGAACTATTGAAAATAGGATAAATAACTGCAGTTTTGGGATCACTGTAAATAAGGATGGGGGACTTTTATTGCATAGCACACTGGCTTCTTTTCCATGGTGGAGCCATGTAGCATCTTATGCTGTGTCTGTTGGTCTTATAAGTCTTCTGTTTTTCAAAGGTGCCTGTCAGAATGCAAATGCAACAGTTGCCAAGGTGTGGTTTCCTGACTACTTGTGGCCATTAGACCACAGCCAGGGAACTGCAGCTGGTCTGCAGAGCTCTGTTGCCTTCTAACTAAAAGCTTAATAGCAAGAGTGCTTTGTGATCCCAAGAAACTCGAGTGCTGAGAAAACCCCATTCATTCAAAAAAGAGACTCTTTTGTAATACAAAATAATATTGACACATAGGCGTGGTTTTATATGTACCTGTAGGGATAATATGATACCATGCACCTCTATTCTAATTTGCTTTGCAAACTGTGTTTTAATACTGTAAAATGAGACTCCAAGTACAAGTTTATTCATATTATTAATAGAAATGACTGAAATAAATATGTATCCAGAACTAAATTTATCAAAAATATTTTCTTATTCCTATGCTTTAGGAATATATACAATTTTTGGGCTGAAAGAAGTCCATTTTGTTCCATTTCTTCCTCTGAGCTAACAGTTGCTAATGTTTTTCTTCCCCTCAATTATTTGCCTTGTTTTTATCTTAAAACAAACAAACCAAAAAAAGTCTCTGTCTGCTTCTCTTTATGACCTTCATTATCCACTTGGCAATGAGTCAAACAAAATTCTTGCCAAATCATTTTGTTCTCATTTTGCCTTGGCTATCATTCAATGCCCTGTCTCTCATTTCTGCCACTAGTTCAAATAGTTTTAGACCATTATTTATCTCTCCTCTGCTCAGAGTTTGGAGCACATCAGTGACATTACCCCTTACTCTTTTCCCTTACAAAGATGACAGACCCAGTTTATTTAAAGTTTTTATTAGATCTTTCAGTCTCTTTATCTTTTGCTGAGCTCTGCTCCACCTTTTCTGTTACGAGGTTGAGATAATAAAGACCAGACTGTTGTTCTCCCTTGTGTTCAATGTGCATTTCACCAGGAGCGATCACACTGTGGTCAACAAAGGTTGCTTACGGAGTAAGGTACTACTCAATTCAAGATTCACAATCTGCTTTGGAGTGATTAGGACTGTACACAATATTCCAAGTTCAGAGAGGTAATTTCCTCTGCTTTCAAGTACATCTCTACTTACGTGGTTTATAATGTTATTATTTAGCTTTTGCTTCTGATTAGTTTTATTTGGAAACAGTATTTTTAACCCACCCATAGCATGCTGGTTTATATTTAGTCCCATTGATGACTCAGTCCCATATGTTGAGCTTCTGAATGTTACAAATTAAGCTAGTCTTAGAGCTAATCTCATTTTAGTAACCATCTCAGGTCCCCTTTCCTCCACACTGGCATAAGAGGGAGCCATGGTCCCTCCTGCTGCAGTCAACTTTGGGACCATATGAATGCCATACAAAAAAGGACAGGTCTAGCAATTGTGACTACAAATGCCCTATTTTACATTTTTAGCATATGTTTGCATTTATTCTTTTCCAATCAATCTGTCTCTTTGTTCACGAGGTTATTAAAAATTTTTAAAAAGTTCCTCTGCCTCTTTTGATGTCTTGTATAACTCTAGGACAGGCCTTGATAATACCAGGATTCCTGATACAATTTAATTCCTTGGAACACTGATTTCCCGGTATTTTTAATGTACATATGGCTGATTTTGATACCTATAATATTTTCTGATATTCATTAAATTATCTGCTGCAATCAAGAAGAGAATTCATATTTCTTTATCAAGGTCATGCCTATTACTTCACTGTGTTTCAGACAGAGTAGTTATGATACTCTATACTCTCCTAATTTACTCCAAAATTAATCAGAAGTTAGACAAGCTGCCAAACAGTTTTTATCTATTCTTGGCTCATGTATTTTTGCATTTATGCAACTGCATTTGTATTTTACAGCAATATTTCTATGATTCTATTGAGTTCCTTCTGTGTTTTAAATTAATTCTTAATTATTCAGCCACTTTTCCTTATTTTATAATTATTACTAAATGGCATACATAGCTACAGGGTTAGCTGATTATCTTGGACCACTCCTAATTCCAGTCTATTCTCCCTGCTTCTCCAGGCAATTTTCATCCATTTCACTCCACTACCCACCATGGGCAACCTTTCAAAAACATGAGAACCATCTCCCATCTCTACAGCAAGACAAGCAAGCCCTTTGCATTTCTCAGAACTACAGTGAGAAAGCCTCTCTCTTTTTAATACAGTAGAAGTAAATATTTGACCATACTAATCATAAGAACTCTTTTCAAATCAAGCATATGTAAATAGCTATGTTTGTGAGTACACAAGGACATAACAATTTGAGGAGTTCTCTCTTCTTTCTCCCTTTTTTGATTTTATATTGGTCAGCCATGGATGCTTTATACCATACAACAGCATAACATGCTTGGCCTTTGGGGAGTAAAAAATCACCAGAAGTACACATTTTGTTGTGTATTTCAAAGGAGCACATCCCAATTTCCTGTGTAAAAAGAGTGTATAGCAGTTCTGTTGCCTGGTACCTATGCAGTTCAGAAGATCTGCCCTTGGCAGTGTTTCCAAACAACACCTCTTACACAGTGAGAATAAACCACTCTGTTAGCCTGCCACAAGCACTCCCTGCCTGGACCTCTTCTATCCTTCTCAGCATGCATGGCACCAACTTTGAATTTAGCTCCATTTACTCTAACCCTGCATGCCAGTGCATTTTTTAATTTTTTTTTTAAGTAATGTGTTTTAACTAACTTATCCACCCAAACCTTAGGTTCTTCCTTCTAGTGCACTGTGGTATGGGAAATGCTGGTAAGGACAAGGGCGTGAAAACATAGATCATCTTCCAATTAGATCTCAAAGGTTATTTTTTAAAGCACAAAAGTTTTTAGAAAAAAAGTGTCAGCTTCCATTGGTTATTATAACAGATGTTCCCTTGTGTCCTTGTGCTGGATCTTGCTGCATCCTTAAGTGAGAAGTCACATCAAAGTGGGATCCATTACAGCCTAGTGAATAGTTTCTAATTGTTTCAGTGTCATATAGATGCTCCAGGGCATATCCAGTTAGTGTGTAAGCATGCTTATCAAAGTACTGCCTGTGGGAGCTGTAATAATTTGGAGAGGCTGCTGGATGGTCTCCTTGGGTTTGATGAGGGGACATGTCTGAATGCAGGTAGTCTTTAGCAAGTACCAAACTTGATTTTGATATTCGATCAGAACTGGGACTACTTATCCTAGACAGTGCCGTGGGGCTGTTGTCATAGTCGTTTTCGTGTGGGCTCATAATCTTTCCATCTCGCTGCTGGATGTGCTCACAAGGAGGAGTGTTGGCCACTGTTGGGACACGGCACACGTCTGCTGCCAGCTGCTGCTGAGGGTAGCTGGCAAAACAGAGAGCGTGCTTCTTCCCTGTGCCGTTAATGGAGACCAGTGGGTCAGGAGTGGTTTTCCGCAGCTGTAGCCTGTTTTCTTCTTCTTTAATCATTTGCTGGGTGGCTCTTATTAGAGTTTCAATTTTGCTGGGCTCATGCGGACTGTTCTGGTACTGCTCAGTACGGTATCGGTCACCTGACTCGCTGGCAGAGCCGGGATCAGGTGAGCTAACAACACTGTCCTCATCCCAGTGTCCTCTTCCTAGGAAAGAGAGAAAGGACACAGCACTGAGGTTTAAGAAAGCAACAACATGTAATCTGAACTTTATTTCACACACAGAAAATCAAGTCAGAGGTGAGTAGTAACAGTCACCAAAAAAGACCCCTTGCTTTTCAGTGACAAAGTCTAGTTTAAAGTTTCTCCACTTGAAACAAGTAACATAGCTGAAAATATACATAGATCCAAGCACCTCAACACAGGTATCTGATGCCACCTGGTACGCTCTTGGTTAGCCAAGCACATAAACCCAGCAGGTATGGCACCACCTCTAAAGCAGCTCTGCCTTTTGGGGCAGCTAGAGGCCAGGCAGGGCATGTCAATGTGTGCCCTCAATGCCACTGTTCAGGGCCCTGGCCCCTTACTGCCTCTTTGCATCAACAAGGTCTGAGTGAATTTGGGCCATGGTAAAAATAAAAATCTCAGGGAATTACAAATGTACAAAATCCCAGCCTTTCCAGGAGCTAAAACAGAGACAGCATTGAGAAATAGCTTGTGGTTATGTAGAGAGTTTATGCAGATTACACAACAATAAATAACCACAAGTAATGAAGGAATTCTTCTTCAAAAGCTCAAGAACCCATAGCTCTTAGACAGGGACACTAAAAATGTGATGTCATATCCCTATGCATAAATATTTGCTTTTAAAATGGGAAAATATTATGACATTCTTACCTCTCTTTAAAAAATGAGACCCATATATATATCAGAGAAGGTGTTCAGCTTGCAAGTAGCTGAAAGGACAGACTCATACCTGTCAGTCCTCACCAGGAAGGAAGTGAGTGGCCCCAAAACCTGAACAGTCAACATCATGATAAAGGGCTTGATTTGCTGAGATACATTTCTGCAGATGGGCATGTGTGGGACTTGCATGTGTTACTTATTGATGCCTCTGCCTTGGCACACACAAAGTCCTTTTTGTGGATGAAGCACATTGGGTTAGCTGACAGTACTCCTCAAAGCAAACTCATTTTCAGAGTAGCACAAGAAATTTCCCCTGTTCTGTGTTGGGTCAGGGCATACAGATCTGTTTGGGTTGCACACCACCACCACTGCATTACAGAGCTCACTGGAAAAAATCATTGATGGGCTTTTACAGTAAAAATATCCTGCCACTGCTGGGGAAGTATTGCCATGGAGTATCATGGGCATGGATTTATCCTTCACATTCTCTTAAGAGCTGGACCCAAAATGCCAGAGCTAGTCAGGTTTTTACCCCAAAGCTACATGCAGAATGAAGGCCTACTGGAAAATGTAACACTTCATATTGAAAAAAACAAAAACCAAAAAACAAAACAAAACAAAACAAAACAAAACCCCAAAAAACAAATCTGCAGCACCTGAAATTACAGCAAAGCCAAACAACAAACTAAAACCAAGTTATATTATCCATTTGCAAATTGTTCTTTACTAGATTCTTTTTCTTTTAGAAGAAAAAGCAAGAAAAACACAAACAGGGCAGAAGTATGGAACAGACACAAGGAAAGAGACATATTCTCACAGGAAAAGTGGAGAACAGTCTTCATCACCAAAATTTTCTAGTCCTTTCTTTTCCTTTTTTTGTGTCTGATTATATTTCCTAGAACTTGCTATTTAATAATTTTTTTCTAATCTCAACATAATTTTCCACAGATTGGAGCAAAACAGAACAGTTCCTTTTTGTTTACAAAGCCTTGTTCTGCAGATCAATGGAATAGTGCTAAAGTAATCTGCTTTTATGAGTTCTTTAGAACATTTGTTTTGATATACTCTTTTGTAGAAAAACTTTTTTCTTAATGTTGCATTCATCCTTAAAACCTTGAATTCTGACTTTAGGGCCACTTACTGTCTGCCAAGATTCAGCCTATAATTTTAAAACAAATGACCTTTGGACTTTTCCAAACCCAGTATCAGGCTTTCACTGTGGTTTTTTATTAGCTTCAGCCTCTGAAAATGTGCTCATACCCTGAGTTTGCAACTTGTCAGAAACTAAAGAAAATTTCAAGCTTGGTGCTGAAAGGATGGAGAGATTCAAATTGGCTAAAACTTATGGCTGAGGATAAATGTCTGAAACCAAAAACAACTGTTAATTTCAGTAGCTAACTTTAAATAAACATCAAATCATACAGAATCTGGTAATAGCCCATAGGGAAAAAATTCACTCGGAGAAATTTCTCCAATTTTTCCAATTTCTCCAATGGTTTTCAAGATATTTTTAATATCTAGGTTGGATTAACTAATTTTTTGCTAAATATATTCCATCTGAGGTGTCTTGATCCTAAGTCAAATAAAAATCGCTTTTCTATCAAGTGGATTATTTTGTTTATATTTTTAAGATCATGCTTAAAATCTTCCCAGTCACGTTTCCACCTTGATTTCAGAGACTGATGAAAATACAGCAAAATTATATTTTGCTTCATATAAGCCAGACTATAAAACTCAACTCAACTTGAATTTTAAGTATTCCTCATCTCCACAGATGTGATCTCTGAGACAAGAACATACATCAAAAGCATCTCATTTTCCGTCTTTCACATAAGCAGCTGTGTGTTTCTGTATGTCACATTGCCTTAGCTGAGACGGTGTCGCTTCTGCAAATCCTTGTTATGCCTTACCATGAATCCTGTGCACTGACGTGATGTGGGGCATACTGTTCTCATACGCTTCTCTGCTCTCAGGGGACGACTTAGTCAGAGGCAATGCCGAGCGAGAACCCCACCAGCTCTCCCTTCCCGGCTGCGGCGTGCCAAGGAAATAGCGGCCAGCTTCGCATCTGCCTCCTTCGCAGGCCTGGGTGTGGAAATGCCTGTCATCAGCCAGCCTGGAGTGCTCGAGTGCAAAGCCGTAGCAGAGCGCGCTGCGGTCTGAGTACTGTCTGTAGGCACAGGAGACGTCGTGGTGCTGGGAGCTCGGTCTGTCCGCAGGCTCCAGGAGCTGGGGAGAAGCCGTATCGGTCAGCGGGCTCCCACCCCACTGGCTCTCGTGGTCAGACTCGGATCTCTCCGTGTGAAATCCAGAATACTGCAAAACAGGAGAAGCAGCGTGGAAATTACCACACCTGGGTGAAATCTGCAAGTAACTGCGCTGGGAAGGCAGAGTATGGATGTGATAGCGTGTTTTTTGTGAGCGTGCCCGCATGTCTGCACCTTCCGACTGGGCTCCTGGGCCTTTCCTGTACAACACTCTGTAATGAGCTCGCAGATGACAGGACAGACCTCATGAAAATCTAAAACATCCCGTGTCGCCCCTTAACAGCCATCTCCTTTATGATGTGTAATATTAGGCTCAGCAACATCAGTGTTGCAATTCAATATATTTTTAGCATGTCCAGGTTTTTCTCGTTGCTTTGAAAGCCGTGCTTATGCTCAGCCAAGGTGCTCCAATGCACTTCAGCAAAACACTTCCAAAAGGGACTGAAATAACGCTGCTTCTGGAGCATTCTCACATGTCAAATTCAAACTGAATGTATTTGAAGGTTCTTTTCTAAGGGTTCACTCTCCTCATATTTTGTTTGTCGATATTTTTTCTTACTTGGAGTTGTATCTTTGAACTTCTTTCCTCTTATTAGCAGGGAAAAGAAAGCTTCTTGTAAATCCTGCACTACCAACATTTCTGCAAAGTAAAGCTCTAAAGTGATGGCAGATAGGTAGGATGCTAAAAATCCCAGCTCTGTTGCAATATGGGAACAAGGAAAATCCAGAACCTATTTGCCAGTAAAGATGACTGCTAACCAAAGCAGGCAGAGTGAGCATTTTTCGTTCTGACTAAAGCAGGGCCTTCCCAACACGGGAAAGCAACTAATAGGTAGTTGGAGAATTAATCAAGATAGGAAAATGAGCATTTGTTTAGATAGAAGCAAGGGTTAAGTTAAATGTCACAGATTTCTAGATATTCATAATGAATGCTTCAAACTTTTAGATAGCCTTTGGGAAAGGAAAAGAATGTTTATTAAACCTCCTAGGATTTAGCTATCTCATTTTTAAATCTTTTTATTTATTGGAACTGTCAAACTTCACGGAACATTTTTAAATCAATTTCACCCATGATTATGGACTGAGATGAGACCAAAGCTGTACATGCTCACCTCTTCAGCACTGCACACTCATGTCACAAATCAATGTATTACAACATGAAACCTTGGAATTCTCCCATTCCATCACTCACCTTCCATATGCCCACTATGCCTTTCTTTTAATAGGCCAAACATAAGGTTACCTTCCTTTTCATTAGATTAAGTTGCTATGAAACTCCTCATTATCAGCCAGGATCAAGGTTTTATGCTCTTACCAATCGAAAGTACTTACCAGATGTTTGACTTAAACCATCAGAAACTTAAACCATCTGTGCAACATCAGTAGAGTTTTTGGCATTTAATTGAGCATTTCTTCAGTATTCCAGTTTGTATTTGTGAATACTGTTTAGGTTGTGAACATGATAGGTTATTTAAAGGAAAGAAAGAAGGGGTCATGGCTTTGAGGAAGTCAATTATATTTGTTATTAGTTGTCAGAAGAATACCCATAGGCAATAAGCCTACTAGTAGATATGGAGGAGGTCAGAAAGTTAGTACCACGATACTTATCACAAAGGTTTAGAGATGAAAGAACAAACGTGAATTTTCATGAAGTTTAGATAGTTACAGAGCCACAAAAGTGTTCTTTTAAATGCCAGTAACTCAACATACACTAACTAGGAACTTTATTCGGCCACCACAGTATTATGTGATCAACTGGAGCATCTGTCCCTTCTATTTTCCCTTCAGATCTAATAGCTACAAACTGCTTAATCACACAGACACCTTCATAAATAACAGTTGAATTATTGTAAGCTTTTTTACAAAAATGTGTAGATAAAATTAAGTTTCCAATAAAAAAAATTAGAAACTATTAACAAGATTAACAGTTAGTAAATTTTATCTAGAATGAAAAATTAAAAAGAGAAAACTACATTTTAATCTGTTTTTAATTTCAGAATTATTTTTAATGGTCTTTTTGGATTTGACTTGTATAAACCAGATTTTTTTAATTTTAAAAGTTAAGCAGAAATATTATATTGTATAAGCCTAAATGTAAATATGAAAGTGTCAAAAGTTCATTTATTTTCTTACTAAAAGCAAAACTCCTAGTATGTAGTTCTTTCATGAGGAGGACCATGAAAATTAATTTCCAATAATAATATAATGAAATTTCTTTTTTGGACTATTTATTATGATAATAAATGCCAGAGAATATTTCAAACTGAAAACTCTTAATTTCCCGTAGCTTTACTAGATATTCTATTAGTTCTCTTTTCTAAGGACACTTCCATGTCCAACATAGCTCCTCTTGAAGGGAGTATTTTCATTTATCTGAAAAATTGTGCAATTTCTGCTTTTATCTTGAACCTAATTACAAAAAGGCCTTCGTGCACTTTTCCTAAAGAAAGGGAAATTATCTCAAAGGGTTTATGTTTAGTATCTCAGAAATGCACTGTGTGATGTCATATACCCATGTATCAAGAGCAACAATACTTGACTCATCTTCTTTGTACTTCATGTAAATGAAGATTATTTGAGGTCTGACCCGTGGCAGCTGCTAGGCCATGGACAGAATTGAATTAACACAGTCAATTGTTTGTGGACCACATTTTCTGCCAAGGTTTGATATGACTACTTACTCCTAAGGTACAACATAAGCAGATACAGGGCAAATATATGTGTAATTCCCTTTAAAGCCAGCCACTCTCTATTTGGCATCCTCAGGCTGCCTCCACTGCTGTGGTCCAACCACTGCCTCTTCTGGGAATCTGATGTTGACAGGTGGAGACTTCAAATAAGGGCATGTGTGACATGTTGATGGGGGGAGAAATGAAAGGGTGATCAAAGATATTGCTTTACTGAAACGGGAGTGGAAACACTATCTCTCAAGTCAGAATTAGGCTCCCATATGTCAAGTGATGAAAGACCATAAAAAATTGAATCACATTTAATGAAAATTATGGCAAATTAAAATCAGTTTGGTTTTTTTTTTCAATCCCAGCCATGTCTCAGCAGAAACATTTTATTTTCTGCTAATATCTCTCTCTGACTTCTATCAGGAGTCAGAAGGCAAAACTAATTTATTACTTTTTGGATTTGACAAAATTTAATCAGCAGGCAGTGATTAAGAACTTCAAACTGGCAACATCTGAAATACTTTCAGGTGATTTCTGAATTTTCTCCTGGCATAAAAAAACAACAAAACATAAATTAAATGGTCCTCCTAGCTGGTCCCTGGAAACTGAATTGTCACCTCTGAAAATTAGAAATGTCTTCTAGAGTGGTAATCCAGTGTACAATCACAGGGAGAGCACACCAGCATGATTAGCACTGACAAAGAAAGGGTCTGTAGGCCATCACTGATGCATTTTCATTTGAACAAAAACTATAGGAGGGCTAAAAAGACAAGGAAATAGGAAGATATAAATTCCACGTTTAAGGAAACCTACTTTATGAGAGTCCATGGAAGTGTATTAGGCCAGTAGACAATTTAATATTTCTCGTGTGATTTTCTTTTGCCTGACCTTCCATTCCTGCCTCTCACAGGCCTGAGGACTCGTCCTGTCATACACAGCAGCATCAGCCTGCTCCACACACCACCCCAGATGTTCAAACAACAGATACTATAGATATATAATTTTCTGTCATACTACTCAGGTTTTTTATCATTTGAAACATTAAATGTATGGTGAAACCCTCACAGAGTCCTCTTTTCCATAAAAAACTTTCACTACATTAACAGCTTTTCTCTTGATTTGTGTCTGAACCATGAGGAAAAAGAACATCACAGATGCAAGCTGCATTGTACTAAGAGAACATATGCATGATTTTAAATCACTTTTATCTTACATTTTACTAATGTAATCCTGAAATGTAAAATATGCTCTTTTTGCATTCACTATAATAGGCACAACAGATGGTGAAAGGCTTAGATTAAAGTAATACAGCATGTCCATTAAAATAACCCCCACTGCTGGTGACTCTTCACCAGACCAGGAATTATGTTTACTATAAAAAGAGGGGTTTGCTTTGCTTTTGAACACATTAGAAGTTGCCAAAGCTTTAGGCTACAGGAAGAAATTAAAACAAAACAAAACCAAGGCTGGCTAGAATTCAGCCTGATTTTGTTATCTTTACCCCCTTGGGTGACATGTCCAAATAGAGATGGATTGCAGAATTAATCCTAATTATCCATCTAAAGGAGATATAAAATCAATATATCTCTGAAATCCGATGTATTAATATATGCCTATATACCTACCTATTAATATATACCTATACCCATAATACACACCTATTTCCAAAAATTTATGCATGCTGTAATACACACCAGAGCCTCCATCCAACAGCTCTTGGGTACATTCTTACTTGTCTGTGTGCTTTCATGAGATACACACATACATATATACCTATATATATATATATATATCTATATATATATATCTATGTATGTATGTGTATATATATATATATATATATATATAATCTTTATCCAAAAACTAAGATGAGATATGAAGCAATAAACATTTATCCAGATCTCACCATGAAACATTCCCACTGCAGGCAGACAACAGGCAATTTAGGTTTTTTACAATCATCATTAATGGAACATTAAACTCCAAAACAGTTCAGAGGATCATCATTAAAATGTTTATCCAGTCTTGTTGCTATTGCCTGTGTATATAATAAATGAGGTCCTGAGCTAATTTTTGGGAACACAGAGGTGCAGATTTTGAGATTTTGAGAGGCCCTCACAATGATGATGAATGATGATGATGATGATGATGATGATGATGATGATGATGATGATGATGATGATGATGATGATGATGTGGGGGAAGACTACAGGCATCTTTTCACCAACTCATGATTTCCTTTTTCTGCAAATACCCATCAAGCCTTCATCTACCTGACTGTTTTTTTTCCCCACCACCTCTTTCAGCTCCACACCTCTCTGGTGGGTCAGCTCTGCACCTCCCTGGTGGGGCAGGACTAGAAAAGCACTCTTCAAACTCTCTGAGCAAATTCTGCAGCTGGGCCATGAATTTTGGGTTGCTCTCTTCTCTGCTTGCCCTTCACCTGCCTGAGGCTGGTTTCACAGAACCCACTATCCCATTGTACTGACAGCACGCAGTGTTAATCAGATGCTGACCAATGCCTCCAGTTTAATGAACTCAGTTTTACTTAAGAGTCTTCAAGACCCACATGATGCTATGTTTGCTTTTGCACAAGACTTAAGGGAAAAAAACATCAGCACTGTCTTAGATGACTGAAACATCCACTTTTTGCCCTAGTAGTAAAAATGCGGCTGAAATTGATTTGTATCGTTTTCATACTGTTCACATCTCATGTACCTGTCCTAGGTAAGGTGAAGAATTCTCAATCAGCACCCAATAAAGCATGAGACTTCTTTTTCTCTTCAAGAGAGAAGCAAAATAAATGGTAAGGGGAAAAGAGAAAAGGAAACAAAAAGAAAAATGGGAAAGAAATTATGTACATTTAAAATCTTATAGGTGCCCTTGACTTTAAGAAGTACTTTGCCCACTGCCATTATTTTACTGATAAACTTCCTGCTTCCTTTCCTCACCACAGCTCAGGCTCCTATGTAAGCCAAAACCCATGACCTCACTCTTCAGCTGTGACTTTTAAGTCACACTCTAATTCTCCTCTACTAACTGGCAAATTACATGGGCAGGAGACTGAGGGACACAGGCTGTACCACCTGCTGCATGCTCTTCACAACAGCTTCTCTTAGTCTTTCAACAGTTTATTCAGTGGTGGAGAAGGATGAGAGGGAGGCAAAGCCAAGCTGCCAGTATTACTTGTGGTGATGGGCTGCAATGAATGGCATGACCATTTTTCAAGATACTGGCAACTAACATGGCTGCTTCTTTTTGAATGATGAAATATGTGACTATAATATCAGGCAGCTGGTAATGAGGATGCAAAATGAAAGTAGAGACTAAGCACCCTGGGCTTTCAGACAACAATCTGTGCTAAACCAAAAGTCACAATGCTGCAGTGCTAATTCAATATTTTTTTCTGGTGACAGAAAGAATAAGGAGGTCATACTTTCAGAAATCAGATAGATGTAGAAGGATAACAAGTCTTCAGATGGGATTGTCCTGCTAGCAAATGAATACTTTGGAAAGCACTGTGTAAGACAAGATGAAATGTAATTACAATATATCAAAGATAGTCATAAAAACTGTATTTAGAATTATTTGTACGTGTCTTCCCCAATTCTTTTAAACAGCTTGATTACAATTGTTTGATGTAGAGCATTCAAGAAAAAGGCTTTTTTAACAACCCACAGATATGCTTATGAACAAGTGAGCTATAATAACCTGAGAAACATTAGATTCCTAGAATTAGGAATTCATATCTAGGTGCTCAATTAAATATTCCCCGTCCAAAAGCAGATGTCTTTTAACTGAAATTTTTATCCTCGGTACTTCTGAGAGGAAAAAGAAAGAAAACAAGGAAGTGATGTAGGCATTTGGGATCACATTGCACACTCTTAGAGGTCCATTTAGAAAACATTGTGCCTGCAGAGAAACTGTAGTTACTAAGGTCATTATCAGCTAAATATTGATGCTCTTTAAATACTGTACTAAATATTGGGCTATATAAAAATAGCTCTTCAATGTTACATCATGAATGCATGGATTTATATCCAGTTTGTTTATATATCCACTTATATCCTCTTATGTAGAGGCACAAGAGCAGTAGGTCTTGTATCATTAATCAGCATCATGGTTATTTTAACAAACATGGTTTTTCAACTAGAAGTTTGATAGTGTAAAGATAGAAGTCCTGTGACATTGCCTGCAGAGATCTGTTGCATCAATGTCTTGTATAAGTTTCAGTTCACACACCCAACTGAGTCTAGTCCATTCTCCAAGCTGGGACATGTTCCTTACACGTTATGCTTGAAAATTAAATCTGGGAAAATAAATAACTACTGATGCCAATGACCACATCCTACTGTTTTCTTCCTTTCGAAGCTTTACACACAAAAAAGTACACATTTTATTGTTCCAATTCACCAAGTTGGCCAGCTGCTTTCTCACATTAAAACTCACTCCTCTTGACAACAATTTCAGTAGCAACTTCTATCAAATATCTGTCAGCTTTCTAGATTTGTTGGAATTAGTAAAGACCAAGTAAGAAGAAGCAAGATTTCTCAAATGGCAAAACTCACAGTGTTCTAAAACCAAATATTTCAAAACCAACATTTTCACTTGTCCTTCTGTCCACTTCTCATTAACTCTGAGCCCTCTGCTGCTATTGTTGATAAAGATGTATTATGCATGCTGAAACACAAATGTTTCCAGCTTTTTAGAAGCAGTTTAAAGAAACATATTCCTGTCTCAAGCTCATATAACCTGCTGTTCTTTATTCCCTTTGAGTAACACTTTCTTTGGCCCATTCTAGTTATTTGGGTAAAGTAGTAGTCAAAATCAAGATATTAAAAAATGTTTAATTTAGTTTTTCAAAGATAGCTACCTGTGGGTACGGTGATGTCCTTGATTTTGACTTTGTGCTTGAGAGGCGAGATTTGCTTCCCTTTCTATTATCCGTTATGGTCGGAGTTGAATTTGCGTATGAGAATGCCGGCTTGGTAGCAGTGACCTGATCCAGGGAGAGCTGTAGTCCTTTATATTCAGTATCCCTATATGAAAGGCAAAAGTGAAAAACAAACTCACTTCATGTCTTAACGGGAAACATTCCTTTCTTCTTAGTGGGGGGTGGAAACAAAAGATATTTTTAAGAAAAAAGAATAAAAACCATCCAGGGCAAGCCAGTATATCCCCCTAATACATTTATGGAGTATAGCTTACTAAGCAACAGCACTATTTTTATACTGAAAATATGATTGCTTTTTGCATCCAGCTGTTATCATCCTGATGTACTTTCTTCAGTAATAAAAAGCAATGGGATGGATATTTCTGAGATTTGTATTACAGTCTACACTGGTCACATAGCTAAGCAGTAAATAGGATACATTTTCCTCAAAACTCTAATAACCATACAACTACAAACCTACCATCTGTGTATTATGTGTGTATATGAGGTGCACATAACAGCCTACGTAGATGACTAAATAAACTGAACAAAATAATTTTTAAAGGAAAACACTTGATCTCTAAGATTGCTTTTTTCATTGTTTAAGAAGTTTCAGGCAATTGTGTAAATTTTTGATTTGGCTTTTTTTTACTTCTATGGTGAAGTTTTGAGTGTTTATTCACCCACTTTTAGTTTCTTATACCAGTTTACCAGTCAGAGAAAACAGCTAAATAAATATATATCTTGTGATTTAAATAGCCTGTCCTTGACTCACAAAATAATAGAAGTTTTCTATGGGAAGCTATATATTATGTCAGTTTTTGAAATTCGGCGTTCGTTTCTTCAAACTAATGAATACATAAAAGTAAGGAAAACTGGCATTGTTCACAATGTCTTACTAAGCATAACGAGGGCATATGCATTGGACTGAAGTCCTCTGCTCACATCTGCATGGCTGCTGATACCCGGGGGAGTAACAAATGAGCTCTCCAGCTTTCATGTAGTCATACGGAACCTATTCTGACAATGATTTATTAAAAGAGAGCAAAGAAAGAGCTTCTTCCTGACCTACCTACCTGGAGGAAAAGAGGAAGGATTCCTTTATTTTTTTTCCTTTGTGTTATCAGTAGAGAAGTAAGGAATAAGGGAAGAATAATGCTTCTCTTAAACAGTCAAGAAGGCAACATATTCATTCACAAATTATCCCATATCCCATCTAAACCTAAAGATTAAAACTTAATGAATTATTTTTATAATAAATTGTTTGCCTATCTTTAGCAACAATGTCTTGGTCTATAATCACACAAATATTGATGTGCAAGCCATAAGAGTCTAACTTTTTTTAGAAAGAAACTGCATCACAGCCTAAGCATAGTACAGCTTAGTACACTGAAATGTCTTCAGATAAAAGTCAAGGGTAGAAGAATAAACTTGATAAGTCACTGAAAAAAGTGAAATAGGATGAATCTTCCAGCAGCCACAGATAAACTTGCATAACCAACAGATTAATTCATCACAGTTCTATTTTTTTTTTCTTTTTGCATCTGATAAGAAGCAAACCTGTTGGTTGAAGAGGCTTAGGTTTTTTGGCAATGCAGATAAGGTATATGTGTCTGTGTATATAGAACACATGAAAGTAAATCCTTGACATTAGAACTGCACTGACTATGCTGTTTCCAGTCCATAGCAGACAGAGATTTGTCAAGCATAAATAGTGCTTTCTAATGCAAAATTAGTTCTTAATGAGGTAATCTCTTCAAATTTTGGCTTTCATAGATGTAGGTCTCTGCTAGAATATCTTCATTTCAAACATCCTGTCTGCAGCAAAAGCGTTTGAGTATGGGGATTTGCTTTGGCCTCTTTGACAGATATGGCTCCTCCACATATTTTGAAAGCATTAATCTTCCCCGTGGTTACCCTCAAAATTTTCATCCAAACACCTTGACTTGACAAGCAAAGGGTCTATCTCCATAATTGATTCCTAGGAAATTATCTCCATGTTATATGAAACACAAAAGATGTCAAACGATCTTCATACTTAACTGCTAAAATGCATGAGATTCTATCAATAGCCCTGAAATAACTATTAGTTTCATCCTGATAGACACACTCCCCCGGCTATTTGATTATAAGAAGAGGAAGGGTCCTATGTTCTCAGTGTCAGATGCACTAAATATTACCACCAGAAACTAAAATTAATCAAAACCAAGTAGGTAAGTTTTCAGAGCCTTAGGGGTATGAGGAAGTTGTATTTTGGTTTTGAGCCTATCAACCCTTTTGCCTCTAGTTTTGCTGGAGAACCCACAGCTCTGTGCTCCTGCCATTAACTCATCTCTGTTTTTTGCCACCCTGTAAGCATTGTCTGCTTTGTCGTGTCAGTGAAAAAATTTTAAAACACTGGGAGAAATACCACCCCGGTATTCAGACCATGCTGTCATTCCAATACTGCTTGTCTGCTGTTATATGTGTAAGGGCCAAGCATTCAAGAATGTAGAGACTTCTCTCTACAATGTTTCTATGTCATGGGAACCAGAAAAAAAACCCTACAAAACAGTCAAACCAGACTTACCAAAACCTTGCATGCTGTTCTGTGTTACTTTTCTACGTCCTTGGAATTGTTATGATGAGGGCTCACCCTCTCAGAACACCACACTTTAGAATAAACAACACAAGGTCGTATTTGCAGCCAGTTGCTTAGACAGTAACTTCATCTAAAAAAATGATGATAAAAAAAACTACCTGAAGTTCTTGCTGCCAGATGCAGTTTTCCCTTAGAAAAAGAAAACTCCTGTGTCTCTTTGCAGATGAAATACCAGACTTTTCATCACTGAGTCATGATTCAATACCATCTCAACCCTGTCCTAGAAGAGCTACCTTTCAGAACAACCAAGAGAGATACCAGAACACCATCAGCAACTGCCCAAGATAAATACCAGAAGTTAAAAAAGCAAAAGGAAAGAAAAAATTGAGTAAGAGTCCAGTGGCCTCAATATCAGATACAAAAGATGTTCCACTAAGAAATAAAAACATTTTTGAGTGTATCCATATGCACTGTAAGACAAAAGATTAGAGAAAGCAGGACTCCTAGTGATATACAAACTACAGATGGAAATTCTGACAACTTCCTAGAGGAATTTATAAAACTTTCACCAACATGGAACTATAATCTCCACATTCCTATTCTCAGACATTGTCACAGCCACATGCTAGTACAGCATCTTGTGTTCTATGTATAATTAAAAAGAAGGTGGTGGATATGAGTCTCTTCCTCCAAGGTCCTCACCTTCAGGATCCCACAGGGATCCATACAGTCTACATCTATCTACATGAGACTGCTGAGAGAGAGAGAGTGATATGGCATGTGTTCAATTGCTAACAGTATGTTGCTGACAATCTACTATTTATCTCATTTTCTGATGCAACTATCATCACTATAAAACATCAGAATAACTACAGGAAATTAGCTCTTAAATGAAGAACAGATGGATCAAACTGAATCCAGACAAGACCAAAGTGATGCTTCTTTGCAAAGGGAAACACATTGAAGACCTCCACCTTTTCATGATGGGAAACAGCCATTCTTTCCACAGTTGGATGGAAATTCTAGGTCGTCTTTGACTCCTCAGAGAACATGAATGCATATGCTTTTGGTAGCACATGGTTCAAAAATTGTATTATTTTTCCTCTATCTTGTTGTTCCTCCCCATATGAGAATCTGGATGGTATGGTCAATGTATCAGGCACCTACAGACTGGATTACCAAGCTTCATTGTAAGAAAATTCAGAAGACAAAGCATAAAATCTCCTTGCTACAATATGCTGCTTCCCATTTCCTTCTCAGATTTAATTCCCAGAGGCATTTCCACTCTATGCCGTGTCTCTGGTTCTTTCAATCCTCTTTATAAAACTTGAACCTAATCTTGAAAGTATTCATAGGTATACTACATGAGCACCACAAAAAACTGAGGATCAATGACTGTACCAATTGCATTTCTCTGCAATGAAGCATCTGAAAGTTGAGTACAAAACATTCTTTACTAAAGACATCTAGCTATAGGGAGCTGAAAAGATGGTGAAGGACAAGGGCTGAAGGAGAAGAATGTTTGGAAGAGGGAGCCAATCTGTTTGTAAATTTCTCGGATGCCAAGTGAATCTGCAACACTTGTGTGAAATCTTCTCAAAATTCAGCTTTAGAACACACTTTCTACCTACTACCATAGCCAAAATGTACTATATGAAACAAGGTAGCAAGAGTATAGCTAATCAAAGTTTGAGGAAGAGATAATGAATCACTGTCAGACAGACCCCCAAAAAAACCCAGTAAGGGAGTTTCAGAGCACCACAAAACTTGAATTCTCAGACTGGGGAGTTTGCACAAATATGGTGACTAAGCATGTGGTTAGAGCTCACCATCAAAATGAAAATGAGAGGGTTTTTTTATATGGGCTTTTTGAAGGGAAAAATATGAGGAAAAGGTGAGTCAGCACTGACAGAAATATCTGTTGGGAAGACAGAGGTCCAGAGTGGCTCACGACAAACTAAAACTGTACAGACAAGCCGGGCTTTTACTGTAATTGTATTTCTTCAATTAATAGGGTGATGTTTAGGACTACTATAGCTCGCTATAGAAGTGAAACTAGACATTAACATTAGACAGCTAAAGGAAAAATAGTTTTCAATATATTAGTACTCCCTACTTAAGGACAGTGTTGGCTATGGAACAGAAGAGAACTTAAGCCCTGAAAAGTGCTCTCAAACAGAAAGAGCAGATAAATAGAATGTAGCCAGAGGAAGAAGTAAAAGAACGACATCCATTAGTAAAGAATAAATACCCAGATTCATTCAAAAGTACTTAAGAAGGGCAACCAGACTCAAGAATACAGATCTTCTATATCCAGAGTTATAAGCAGCATAACCTTCAAAGCAAAAAGAAAATCTTCAGAAAAGAGACAAATGCTCGATTCAAGGAAAATTATGTAAAACTGTAAGGAAGAGCATCTTTTTCATTAATACCACTACATGCCAGAAAGGAAAAATAAGGTACAGTAACCGAGAATACACGGATAACCAACAGAGGCAGACATTTACTGAAATTCAGTTTTCATTTGTGGAGTTACAGCATTGGATGAAAAGGTATCA